TCATTGTATAGGTCTTTCACCTCCTTAGTTAAATTTATTCCTAGATATTTTATTCTTTTTGTTGTGATTGTAAATGGGATTGTTTCTTGAGTTCTCTTTGTTAGTTCATTATTAAAGTATAGAAATGCAACTGATTTTTGTAAGTTTTTAAATGGTGTGTGTGGTTTGTTATTTAATGAATGCAGCTTATGAAAGAGCAACCTCTTTTCCAGAATGGGATGGAGGGAGCTAAGGAACTGGTCGTGGTGGAGCTGCAGTGCTTCCAGGACCCTGGGGACCACGCTTTTCTCATATCTGCACACTTCCTCCTGGCTGACGGCGTGGAGGTGATGATCTTTATATTGATGCCTATGTGCTTGCCCTTGTTCATAACTAGTTTCCTTAAAATTGGTCAATGAACCAGCCAATCTGTTAACCTTTTTCTTTGTACCTGGTAAATAGTTTTGAAAAGTGGACATGTGTTCTCTCTTGGAATGCAGGAGGTGAGGAGAGCAGGGTGAGAACAGCCCCCTGACCAGACCAGCACGGGGTTCTCCTCAGAGGAGAATACTTGCTGGGTGCAGGGCGTTCAGGGCTCCTGCTCCTGTTCTGGATCACTTATGGAATATTTTCCCAATGTATACACCTCTTTTTATTGATTGATTGATTGATTGATTGAAGAAGATTGGCCCTGAGCTAACATCTGTTGCCAATCTTCCTCTTTTTCTTTTTTTTTTTTCTCCTCAAAGCCCCAGTACATAGCTGTGTATCACAGCTGTAGGTCTGTAGCTCTTCTATTTGGGACGCCGCCTCAGCATGGCTTGATGAGTGGTCACTAGGTCTGTGCCCAGGATCCGAACCAGCGAACCCCGGGCCGCCAAAGCAGAATGCGCAAACTTAACCACTGTGCCACCTGGCTGGCCCCACAGTGTGAACACCTCTAAAAGCAATCCATTCACACACTGCGTTTGGTAGCTGCCTACTGTGTATCAGGCCATCTACTAGAGGCTGGGACCCAAAGATGAAAAGTACTTCACACCCTGCCCTCAGAAATCGCCAGCTGGGAGGAAACAGCACATTCATGATTATATCCACTGTGATGGAGCTGCTACTGAAATGTATGTGAAGTGTTCTGGGCTCAGTTACAGCAAGAAAGGCTTTGCAGAGGCCGAGACCTTTGCGCTAAGTCAGTATCAAGTCAAGGGCATGGTTCCAACCTGAAACAATTATGAAAGAAAAATTAATTCAGAACTAATCCCTATAGTTCAAATAAAATGCTGCGACCCCTTCAGGGTGTCTTCTGTCTATACCTTCAGACCTATGGGCAGGAGACACAGCAGCCCGCAGGGCGCACAGGTGCTCCTCAGTGGGAGTGGTCCTCACTGCCATGCACTCAGGCTCTGCACACTTGTCATTTGCCCCCACTCCAGGTGTCAGCTCTGGGGCAAGGAAGGAGACTCCCATCTGGTGGGTGCAGGATCTGCCTGACTTAGAAGCCGCACCACACAGGAGCCCACATTTCTTATAACATGAGTCTAGGTTCAAGATGCCCTTAAGGAAAGTGGCCGTTATTTGAGTCATCACTCCCACGGAAGCCCAAGGCTCAGGTTTCCCACCTGCTATTTATGGGTCATTCATTGAACTCCCAGTCCCGATGCAATTTAGTAATGAGAGGTCACTATTACCCAAGGAAGTTGGCCTAATTACAGCTGACATTCTATCCTATCAGGTTTCCATGGGAACAGATATAAAGAGTTAATCCAAGGTCAGATGTGTCCAGGAAGGAGAAAGGGTTTTGTTACCTTTTACCCAAAAATATATACTATACTTTGTGGAGGATTTAGTCGTGTTGTTAAAAAGTAAGTAAAAATCAAATTGAAAACCATGATAGAAAGTGTCGTAGTTGTTTTTCTTTGTGAAAAAGAAAACTATAACACTGCACACAGGCCATCCTGTCCTTTCCTGCTTACTGTGGCGAGAGCCCTGCCTGGGAGCCTTCCTCCTGCAGCAAGCCGAGTCGAAGAACTCGGTAGAGGCCCCTGGTGTTAGTCTGTTCACCTTGATAGAAGTAATCCTCACTTAACCAGCAGTAGAAGAGCCATTCTGCAGAAGAGGCTTTTCTAGCTTGCCCTTCTCCTCTATTAAACCATTTTGACAGAAATCTTCCAAAATTATGTTAAACTCTACCTTCTTAAATGGAGTAACTTGAACATGATATACTTCTTTGTTCCGAGGTTCAGAGGCATCCTGTAGCCACCAGTGGGGGGCGGGGGAAGTTTGTCAGTGCTACGAGTAGTCCGACTTCCCCTGGGGTTGCACACCTCAGAGCCAGGCGCGTGGCCGACACCACCGCTCCCAGCTGTGGCAAGTCCTCCCATATTCTCTGAGGTTAATGTTGGGATAACTGCTCACTACAGGGGCAGGGATTTCCAGGAAGAGTAGAAAATGCCACATCCGTGGGAAGGTTGGAATGAGGGAGGCCGTCTGTGCCTATCCAAAGGAGTTCTCGCTGCCTGCCTTTAGCCTTATTTGTATGACCTACGAGCTTTCCTGCCTTTCTCCTTGCTTGTAGCTATCATTTCATTTTGACTGTGTGCCTGTCTCTAACAATACTCATTTCTGAGGTATTTTTCTTTTCTTCCCCTCCCCTAGTTTATTTTTCTCATTTCTAAAAAGCTAGAAAGCCAGACTTCAAAGCTAATTAGAATAGTATGAAAAGTAAGAGTAGATAGTCTCTGAATGAACGTTTGAACGACTCTCCAATGAATCAAATGTGTCTTTTCTGCCTGTTGTGCCTGCTAAGGCTTTTTCCCCTTACTTTCAGGTTTTAGGCTGTTTTGTGAAGAACTGACTATTTAAGTAATTCTTGGAAAAAACTAGTTTCTAAACTCCTTCATGGCGGGGATCTAATGACGTATTTATGTTCCTATCCTCATGGTCCATAGTAGGTGTTCAGTAAAGATTGATATGTTAGTAAGTTACTGTATCCTCATATCCTAACACTTTGCTGCGTATGTAATTCATAGACCAGAAGACAGTTATGTGTAAAGAAAACCTCTGCAGAGGCAAGTGAATACTATGAAAATTTCATTGAAGACCTGAAGAAACAAGGATTTCTACTAAGAGAACATTTTACGCCCGAAGCAACCCAATTAGCGTCTGAAAAATTGCAAGCAGTAAGATCATTTATACGTGTTATTTTGTGTTATCTATTGAATACTTTTAATAGAAATGTTTTCTTTATGACAAATAAAAAAACTGGCAGGAGAGAAGAGTAGGAGTTAAGAAAAGGAAAGGCAAACCCACAGAATGGCATGGAAACTGAGTGGAGAGTGAGTTCCAGGAGAAGCCACAAAGCTTATTGCTTATTTCAGCAACTAACCCTCACAACTTTCAAAAGATTTCATTATAACCTAGGTCACGAGTCAGGGGTCCTTAACCCTTAATGCCGCTTAACTTTTTTTTTTTTTTTTAATTGATGTTTTAATGGTTTCTAACATTGTGAAATTTTGGGTTGTACATTTTTGTTTGTCCATCACCACATATGTGACTCCCTTCACCCCTTGTGCCCACCCCCCACCCCCACTGCCCTGGTAACCACAGTCCAGTTTTCTCTGGTTTATTGGTTTATATTCCACATATGAGT